GGGGGGGTGGCTAACCGGCGCTGAGTGACTGACTGACTGATGGACTGTCGTCTAACGAGCTAACTGTCTGCTTGATTTGTTGTCTCGTTTTGTGTTGTGTTGTGCCCCATGAGTGATTGCGAGTGGATTACCTGTGATCGATTGATCGATCGTTTGTTACTCAGCTGTGCTGTGCCCATGGATTCCACCTGTCTTCACATACCGACACGACGTTAGTTCGCTTATTGCAAACACATATTTGCTGTCACTTCAACACCTCAAACCACATCAAATATTTATTGTAACATTTTAGCGTTCAGGGTACAAACTAATTAATAATCACATACTTTTGTTCGTTTGATTAATTTTATTTTATTTCTTTGAAATATCTTCTTTGTAGTGCCGTCCCATTGTCGAGCAGCGTAACATTTGTATACGTAGCAGCGCTAAGCGTTCAACGCTTTTAATCACCGACATTGCGGCCGATGATAGCGGCAAATATACGGTGGAGATTATGAATGCGTTTGGCAGCGATGCGGCGGCCGCTTCGGTGGCGGTGGAAGGACCACCAGATGCGCCCAGCGGCAAGCCAAGTATCTCACAAGGTCCCGATCGCATTGCGGTGGCATGGTGTGGCCCACCCTACGATGGCGGTTGTATGATAACTGGTTTTATGTACGTAAAAGCCACAATATCCAAATATATTTCGATAATTCATTCTAAAGCTGCTGGTGTGCTAATCCGTGTTTTGTTCTTTAAAATTTCAGCATTGAAATGCAACAGTTGCCTACTGCCGCACCGAATGTTGAATGTGACGAATTGACTGATGGCGAAAGCGGCGGTTGGCATGAAATCGCTACCGTTGTGGACTCATTAGCGTACACCGTTAAGAATTTGACACCGAACGCCACATATCGATTTCGTGTGCGCGCCAAAAATGTACACGGCTGCAGCGCACCCAGTTTGCCCAGTGACGCGGTTGAGTTGCAAGCTCAAGAAGTTTCAACTGAAGGTAAGTGAGGAGGGAAGGGATATTTGGGGTGATAATAAAGAAGATAAAGGTGACTAGAGTGATGAAGAGGAATACTAAATTTGGATTATGATGCAAAAGAAGATATTGACCCACATAAATGTTTGCCAAAATGATCAGAACGTAGAGCTGACTCGATTTAGCCAAGTCCATCTGTCTATCTGTTTGAACGAAATTTATTACCTCAGTTTTCGAGATATCCGACTGAAACTTGGTAAGCTAGTATATTTTTATAATGTATTCATCATTTGTCGGAGTCGTCAAAATCGGTCCACTATAACTTATAGCTCCCATACAACTGATTGTTAACTTTAGTTCTCGGTCCTGGTTACCTATTCTGTGGAAATGCCATATGAGCATTTAGTTTAGTTGTGTCCCACTTTTAATAGATTTTAAGTACTAAACAAATTATAACTTTTAAGTACTTAGGATATTCCTGAGCTCGCGGTTTTTTCGGTCGGAGCCCTCTCGGATCGGGGGCCCGTAGCATTTTGCCACCCATGCCACCCTATAGTTACGCCTCTGCAGGCTGACTCTATCGAAATAAGTCAGATACGTGGGCTTCAATTTGGGAAACCTATTAGCGCTGTATAAACGGGAGTATTAGGACGCCTATAACTGCCCTAAATGCTCTCAAATCAGCTGTATGTAGTCAGTGGTTGCATGATTCATTTTCTTCTAGGGCATGCAGCCTATCAACGGTCTAAGTACGATAAGGAAAAAGCTAACAAACAAGGGCTCTAGAGATCTTGCTGCATGTTCTGCCTGTGGTCTTATGCTCTACGTGGGTAGCCACGGTTGCACTAAATGGAATGATATGAGCTCCGAATCAGCATGTGAGCAAGAGCTCTCTCTGAACCTCAATTTTACGTTACCGGATTTCTGTAGCGTTTTGCAATCAACGAAGTTATAAGGGGTTTGATCGATTGATAGGCAGTTAGCTGCTAAAGCACATGAAAGTGATAAATTCACATCGAGGATAGTCATGGAGTGTATAAATACATATTCCTAATGTGTTGCCAAAGAGGCTTGCCTTAAATACATATTGTTGATATCATGTCAAACTATCGAATGTGCAAAAAAGCTCTTTCAATTACGATACGTTGTGCATGCGTTAAGAATGATACGCAAGTTGGCAAATCGTCAAATTTCTAGTCTTCTTAGAAGCAGAGGATACTGGCTTTAACAAAGTGTCGAATACCAGAAAATTTCCTACACTGAAAATAAAATTTCGTAAAAGTGCTACGAAAATCTTTCGTAGTGTTGGTTTTTGTACAATGTACGAAACTTTCGTTCATAATACGAACACATTTTTCACAACGAAACAAGATTTTACGAACCATACGTAAATATAACGAAAGGACTTTCGTAAGGCATTTTTTCAGTACAATTTACGAAATCTTACGTTTATTTTACGAAACACATTCGTAAAGCACTGAAAAAATCTCTGTACGAATAATTTTGTATATAGTAGGAAGGCATTCGTAATATTTACGTATGGTTTTAAATTTACGAAATTTACAATTCTGTATTCGTACAATTTAGTTAATACTTTCGTATAAAGTACTAATGCAGAAACATGTTTTTTAAATTCGTACAACATACGAATATTTTCGTACAACATACTCAATTACCGGCAGTTTAATATTTCATCATATTTTTTGTACTGCGTGTCATTGCGAAATTCATTGTTGGCTGCTGTGAAACGTATAATATAATTTTAAACGTTTTAAAAAGGGATTTGCTGGATAAAAAAACCATACAAAATTAAATATTAAAGCTGTGGATAAATGCTTTTAAGCATGCAATGTTTTTAACATCGCCTACGCTAATTTCGTTAAATATATGAATTATTTCTGTGCATTTTACAAAAATTTCGTAAAAGAATAACGAAATAGTACGAATTTTTTTTAGTAAATAATACAAAATTCTTTAGTAAATAGTACTAAATTCTTTAGTAAATAGTACGAATACATTCGTAAAATGTACTAAAAATCTGATGCCTCATATTTTCGTAGTATGTACGAAAACGGTTTTGTACAATCAACGAAAACTTTCGTGGCTCAAAATTACAAACAATTTCGTAAGATTTACGCAAGTTTTCGTTATATTTACGCAGATTTTATTTTCAGTGTAATGACAACAACAGTTTCTGCAGCCATTTTTTTCGCTCTCCTGAAAAATACCCATTTTCACATTCGATAGTTTAACATGGTAGCGACGATATAAATATATATAGAATTAACTCCCCTCTTCCGCGATCAATGCCGCTTCTTATGCAGGCAGGTGAATACAAGATTATCTGCAAATCTAGCCCACTCTTTCTAAAGCTGCAGCTCCTACTTCCACTTGAAATCGAGGTTATTACAGGCCGCTGCTTCATGGTAACGCATGCAAAACAGAAAATTTAAACTGACGAATAAATTCTTTCTTAGCTATCAATGGACATACAGTGGTTAAAGTGTGTCGCCTTCCAATGCTGGATGAAGTCATCGACGTGTCTATATTTCTCGAACAAGAATAAGATGATTATACTTTGGTCCCCCAAGCTTTTAGTTATTTAGTCGGAATAATCATGATAGTAGACTAATAAATCAGATGATGCCGGTCCTCATGATAAATTAACAAGTTAAGGAGGAGGAGAAAAATTTGTTATCCGTGTCGGAACTTGAGCTTAAATTGGGCTATAAGATCCCATATAACTACTAGGTAGTGGGATAAAACGAGTAGAAAAACAAAGCGGGCTGTCCTCTTTGGCAAAACTGGGAAGCGAAACTGTTCGAGAATTATAAGCCTACAGAAGGACAGCAAGAGAAATTGTTCGCCCTTTCAGCTCTAAAACCACCAACGCTTTGCGCCCTAGACAGCTAGTTGGGATATCCATTTTTGGAACAGCGTCTATCGCTTTACATCTTATCCAGTTATGCTTACGTCGAACCTCATTGTTAAGATTCGGTTTTAGATTTCATAAATCAGAAAATTTCGACAGCGATTCGAGAACATTTATATCACCAGAATATGTCTGTTTGTTAGTTATATAATTATTGATTTAAAATTTGGTTTGTTTTTCTCTTCCAGACTTCCACAGGCCGATTAGCGTTAAGTCAGGTGGCGATTTTAAAAATCGCTTCGAAGTGCTCGAGGAGTTGGGCAAGGGGCGCTTCGGTGTCGTCTATCGCGTACAGGAACGTGAGGACCCACGACAAATACTCGCCGCAAAAGTGATTAAATGCATTAAAGCACAAGATCGTCAAAAAGTATTGGAAGAGATATCGATAATGAAATCATTGCAACATCCGAAGCTATTGCAACTTGCTGCTTCTTTTGAAAGCCCACGCGAAATCGTAATGGTGATGGAATAGTAAGTGAAGCAATGAAATTGCAATACCTTCACATTTCAGTTAAAATTTCTAACGTATACTAAATTTGTTTGATAAACTCACTTCATTACAGCATTACTGGCGGTGAGCTATTCGAACGCGTTGTAGCCGACGATTTCACGCTCACCGAACGCGATTGCATACTCTTCCTGCGACAAGTGTGCGAAGGTGTCGCCTACATGCACACCCAGTCGATTGTACACTTGGACCTGAAACCAGAAAATATTATGTGCCATACACGCACCAGCCATCAAATTAAAATAATCGATTTCGGTCTGGCACAGCGGCTGAATATGAAAACGCCAGTGCGCGTACTATTTGGCACGCCAGAGTTCATACCACCCGAGATAATTAGTTATGAACCCATCGGTTTTCAGTCGGATATGTGGAGCGTGGGCGTCATTTGTTATGTGCTGTAAGCTATTACTCGAATATATTGGTGCTATGATTTCTTAAATACACAGACGAATTTTTTCTTCCTCTTTATACCAGTTTATCTGGCTTATCACCTTTCATGGGGGACACAGACGTGGACACTTTCTCGAATATAACACGCGCCGATTACGATTTCGATGATGAAGCTTTCGATTGTGTATCACAAGAGGCGAAGGACTTCATTTCGAATCTGTTGGTGCATCGCAAAGAAGATCGTTGGACAGCCAAACGATGTTTGGAATCGATTTGGCTAACGCAGGAACATGACGAAAATCTCAGTAATAAAATCTGCACAGACAAACTAAAGAAATTCATAATACGACGCAAGTGGCAGGTAAGTAATTGAAAAGAAAGAAATTTTATTTTAGTTGCTCTGGAGTTTTTTTCCTGGCAAAATGTAGTAAAGAACCAGCTAATTTTTTAAACTTTTCATTGGAGGTTGAAATTTCCATTTGAAGCTAGCAATTTTTTTCTCATTAAATCTCACGCAACTATCAAGCGGACCATCATGCATAGTAGCGGACATGGCATAAACAGCGTTGTCGCTGTATCTAATGCTATTATATTTAGAGATACAATTGCTTATCATCACAGCTTCTTTGATACTCGACAGCAAACGCTCCAAAGTCCATAAATCTTTCGTATAATATTTTTTGGCGAACACTCCAAGGTAGTGGTCTGAAACTATCGATAGTCGACACTATCGATAGTATGCGATAGTTGTTTAGAAACCATCGATAACTATCGCTAGTTATCGATAGTCGTCTAAACTTACGATTTGGCCTTATATTGCGCTTGGCATTTTTGTAAAAAAATTTTCTTACATAATCAGTATATCGCTTGGTTAGAATGAAAAGTAGCTGATTCCATTTTTAGAAATTTGACAGGAGAGTAAGAAACTTCTCATAGCCATTTTCTCCAAAATTTTATGAAACTTTTAAAACAAGATTTTACGTGTTTAAAGCAAAGCAAACCTTTATACGAATCGGAACGATTCGTTGCTAATTAAAAAAAATTGAATTTTTTTAGAGCTATTTATTTTCTATTAGTTCCTGTCTCGAATC